CATAACTATAGGCAGACTGTACTTTTAATCAGCCTTTCTGAGTGATCCAGCTTATAAAATGTTGAATGGTGGCACCACACAGGACATAAGGTAATGCATATTCATTCAAGGAACTCATGTTGAGTAAGCATGTACTATTGTGCCACCATACTGGAACACAATTATACACACAGGACAGAGTGATGCTATTTATCTAGCCATAAAATGATTTTAAATTATCACTTTGAATATTAGTAGTCAACATTAGGCTATAACTAGAATCAAGTTAATATGAATATAAAAATCCTTCTCTAGTTTTACAGGTTCATTTCTGTTTCTGGACAACCTTTAGAAAAATTACTATCCTATAGTTTGTTCCCAAATATATAATGTAAAGACTGACTATAGGCAACAAGCCATGGCTTATGCATTCAAAGTTTGCTTATTAATTTGTACCTCTGCTCTGCTGAACACAGAACAAAAGGTGAAGAATCCCAGTCAATAATGAAAAGTTATTACCTTAACTCTATTTCATTCTCCCCAAGCCCAGAAAAAGTGCCTTCACATTGTTACTCCATCTAACTACCTCAATGGAAGAACTTTTGGGTTTATATAATTGGGATTCCTTGTTTTATCTTGGTACTTTGGCTTTCTGGATTGCTAAATCAGTTCCAGCAAAAGAGACTGCAGATTAAACATGTGTGGAAATTGGAGCAGATCACTTTGCTTCCTTCAGTCTGTTGTTGTTGTTTTTTTTTAATCTCAAAATGTGTGTGTTGAAAATGATAATAATCCCATGGGGTCACATGATAATAAAATTATACAACTATCCTTTGGGAGTTTGGATAAGTAAAATTTTCAGAAATTTAAAATCATGACTCTCAAGCAGAAAAAAAATTATAGGATTCAGTTAGAAGTTTCTTAAAGCACCATGTTCCAAAAGGTAAATTGGTTCTTACGCAAATATAAAATAAATTACGTACCAAAATTTTATTCAAATAAGATAGTAAATAAGATAGTAAAATCATTTTTAAGAAGTATTTTGAAAACTATATATTTATAGACAATATCATGATAGGATTTCTGAACTAAGTATAAAGCTGGTTAATTTATAAGAGAGCAATAAGTTATAAATATTAAGGTTGTTTTACCACTAGTAATAATTATTTGTATCTCTATGGGATGAAAATATGCAACATAACTGCAGCCATTCAACACTGCTAGAATAATCAACCCTTATATTAACTGAAAAGCACCCTTATATTAACTGAAAAATCACGTCTGGACATTTCCAAGTTTCAGATAATTTGTTTGACAACTCAGATTATCTCTTGTAAATGAAAGCTCCTCCTTCTTGTGGCTGCTGTTATCTTTGAGACATGATCTTACTATGTAGCCCAGGCTGGCTTCAAACTCATCATCCTCTGACTTTAGCCTCCTGGGTGTTCGCATTACAGGTATATACCACTACATCAGACTTTAAAACATCAGTTAATAAAAGTCTGGTGGCAATGCACAACATGCTAATATTTAGAAACAACAAAAAATAGATATTCACTGTGCTGTTTGGGCTCATCTCCAACTGGCTCAAGTGTTGTTCCTTCCTTGGCCTCCTGAGTAGCTAAAACTCACCTAGCTTGATTCTTGAAAAGAATATCTAATTTTTAGAAAAAGACATTTATTATTTTTATAATATTCATTTACAATTTCCATATCTATTTTAGGATAGCATTCTAACTGTGCCTTACTCATTTTATGCTGAGATCAATGTTAGAATTTCCTAACAATGTAGAAATGAATCTTTATCTAAATATCTTATTCATCTGTTGCAATGCATACTTAAAGATACAGTTGAATACAGGCTAGTACACAAATTTACAATTTATAAATATTTTAAGGATGATTTTAAAGATTTATTAGGCACCCAGTGCCTAATAAATGTAAAAATACGAATTTTACCAAAAAAAAAACTTTTAAAATAGTTTAAGCTTCCTGATAAGTAAAGAAAGTGAGCCATAAATGAAATATTGTCTTAGGATATATGGTGTCTGCTAACTATTTTGCATACCATCCTATGTGAACATACTTGATGAAATCAAGATATGCACAAACCCAGCCCAATGGAACTTTTGACTGCTCTCTTCTCTGTGAATGAAGACTAAAATCTCCTTCCATATTTGGTTTTTGAAAACTGACCCATATGTAAAATAAAAAAGAACCCATCTACAAAAAAAGTCACACACCTTTTATTTCTATCATTTTATTACAGATTTTTAACCTTAAAAAAATAACATTTATTTCCTTAGCAACTGCTTTAAGGAAATAAGTCAGAGACAGGGGTAAGTTCTTGAATGTCTGCCATGGTAAATTTTCCTATTTCAATCTTTTTGTAACATTATAAATAAACAAGATAATGTGCTTATGTAAACCAAATTGTTCTTTTGAAAGCCACAAGTATATTCACACTTTCTGATAGAAAGTATTACTATTAGAATTGAAGTTTAAGCTTCTACTATCCATTACTCAAAAATAACACAGCATGAATTATTTATTTATTACAAAACAAAATATATTGTTTCAAGGTAAGTGCAACTAAAATAAACATGGTTCCCTGAATCTTTTATTTAACATTCAGGACTTTGGAATAACTGGGGGGAAATACAGGAAAGCCACATGTGGAAGAACCAGGATGCTTAGAAGTAAAGCTGAAGGCTCCCTTCTAAGGTGCTTGAAATTCCATCACTGGTATCACAAACTTGGATTAAGATAGCGAATCCTAAAAATAGCCTATTAAATGCAAGTATGTCACCTTGATAAGACAAAGCCCAAGGAAACTTGCCAAAAAAGTTATTTCAAGTCAGCAGTTCAAAGAAGAACATATGTTTTCCAAACCTTTATTCTGCTATTTTCACTATGAAGATGATTTATGAGAGACAGCTCATTGGTGGTAGAAGCCACCAATCACCATGAATCTGTAGGAGCAGAAAGAGGCACTCAAGGCCTTCGTGGAGAATTTGAAGAAAAGAATGCTTCAAAGATCACTTTTCCAAGGGTAAGAGCAAAAAATAAAGATACTAAGCATAATCCTTGAATATGAACCTATGTGAGCCATGATCAAATGCTCCTTTTCTCTTTGGTCTTTCTTCTCTTGTAGCAAACATTATTTGGGCAAGTTATTTTTTGTATATGCCAGTATAAATTAAAACCAATAGTCCATCTTTTTTATAAACCTAGATTATATTGTAATGTCATTAATAGCATAAATTCACACTGATGTTTAGTTATCCTTGTTCAAAATGCAGAAAATGTAAACATTTTTTTTTGTCGGTCATGGGGCTTGAACTCTTGGCCTGAACGCTGTCCCTCAGCTCTTCAGCTCAAGGCTAGTGCTCTACCATTTGAGCTACAGCACCACTTCCAGTTTTCTGGTGGTTTATTGGAGATAAGAGTTTCACAGACTTTCCTGCCGGGGCTGGCTTTGAACCATGATCCTCAGATCTCAGCCTCCTGGGTAGCTAGGATTACAGGCATGAGCCACCGGCACCTGGCTGCAATGTGGTAAACATTTTTAGTTAATAACCTACTTCAAAAATAACAGAACTATAAAGGGAAGATGGACTGTATTATAAAAGAATCATCATTTGTCCTTGTTAGACATTCAAAGAAAGGAAAGGTCGTAAAAACATTTTTGAGGCAAGGGAAGACAGGGTCCCACTATGTAGCCCAGACCTGCCATACTTCTGCCTTGACTTGGCAAGTACTGGGATTATAGGTATTTACCACCACACTCAACCAGAAAATGAATCTTTAAATAAGGGACATGTCAGGGGATGAAATTATGATTTATTCTAGATTAAAATTTATGAATGTCCATGACATGATGACCTGTGTTTCTTGCAGAAACATAAAGACCCCAACAAATGAATGCAATTATGTCCAAACCCTACCAATCTCATTAAAACTTTGGTAGGGGATGTTTGGTAAAAATTATTAAGGCTTATAATTGGCAAATTCATTTTTTGTTTCTAATATATGTTCTCATTGGGGAGACTTGATCAGAATTAAGTTTTAACTTGTTTTGCTTGTGGATCTCACATTGGAATGAGATAAAATTATTTAAATATATTCAATATCTAGATTTACTGTCAATAGCAGGGCAATATCAATTAAATATAATTATACAGAATACAAACCAAATACAATGAATAAAATATAGAAAACCAAGTATATTCTTTTTAATATGGCAAAATAATTTTATATCATCCATTTAAGGGATATTCTCTGAAAATATATTTGCAATAGGTAACTTTATGAAATTAGCACATATAAATTGTTAGATGTGGATGTTTCTATGCTGACAATAAAATAAATTTCAAAGAAGGAATGGAGCACATAAGTCTGACCATTGATTATTATTCACTATAGAAAATATACTGGTGGTTTTGCAATTAATCTACCATTTTTAGTTAGAATATATTTTAGAGACACAGATCTTTTCCCACAACATGTGCCTCATTTCTTCAATGTAGAATTATCTCTGGGCAGTGTGGAATGGCTGTATTAACAATCAGCAATAGGAGAATATCAATAAACATTTTCCATTGTACTTGGTTAGATCCATTAACATAGTATAAAATGTAATATGAAGGCTTGGACATCTTTGGGTTATACTGACATCAAATACCAAGATAGCTACTTTAAAGGCACTTTAGAATGATAGTTGGGACTATTCTGTAACAAGGATATAAAGTTATGACTTTAGACAAAAATATAAACAAGAGCTATTTTAACAGTATCTTTTCTAGACGCTTTTTTTTTTTTTTTTGGTGGTGGGACTTGAACTCAGTTTGGGCGCTGTCTCTGTGCTCTTCAGCTCAAGGCGATCATTCTACCACTTGACCCACAGCGCCACTTCCAGTTATCTGGTGGTTTATTGGAGATGAGAGTTTCATGGACTTTCCTGCCCCAGCTGGCTTTGAACCGCTATCCTCAGATCTCAGCCTCCTGTGTAGCTAGGATTACAGGTGTGAGCCAATGGAGCCCGGCTTCTAGAACCCTTTTTCATGGTGCATATAGCATGCAGGTCTCGCTATTTGTTCATTTTATGTATTTATCTATACTGCTTCACTCCCAGAATGATTTAGGTTTGTTTACTTCATTTTAAACAAAACCAATCTAGCCAAAAGATCTTTGTCATTCGTTCATAGGTACTACTTTGACCCCATGTGCATTGATGTAGGTGAGAAGAATTTGAGCTCTCTGTTCTATCACATCGATGAGCTTTTCAATTCCTTGTCTACCTCCTTGACTTTCCCAGTAAACCTTATCAAGAAACAGAGACTGTAGGAGTTTCTGCCGTAAGTGCTGGCTCTTCAAAACAGAAACTGCAGATTCAGGAAACCTGAAAAGATAACATGATATTTCATGCTTAGTAATTGCTTGAAAAAATTATCCCTTCCCAAATTACTCTGCTCCTCATTAATCTAACATAAATCACACTACCAAATGATACCTTGAGAACCAAAACATTTTGTCACTGCCAAGCTGACACCTCTCTTAATAATAATATACTAGAACATGTTTCAAGCGAACTGAATTTTTTATACATCTAAAGACTTAAAGAGAAAATTTTCTGAAAAGGAAATAAGAATGGCCAATAGACACATGAAGAAATGCTCAACCTCTCTAGCCTCTAGTTTTGCAAATCAAATCAATATTGAACTGCCACCTCACCCCAATTAGAATGGTTAGAATCAAGAACTCTAATAACAACAGATGCTGGAGGGGATGTGGACAGAAGGGAACCCTACTACATTGTTGGTGGGAGTGTAAACTTGTTCAACCACTTTGGAAAATAGTATGGAGGTTCCTCAAAAGACTCCACATAGAGCACCCCTATGACCCAGCAATCCCACTTTGGGGCATTTACCTGAATGATCACAAGACCATACTAAAGCTACCAACACAACTATGTTTATTGCAGCATTATTTACCATAGCTAAGATATGGAACCAACCCAGATGCCCCTCAGTAGAAGAATGGATCAAGAAATTGTAGTATATATACACAATGGAATTCTATGCCTCCATCAGAAAGAATGACATTGCTCCATTTGTTGGGAAATGGAAAGACTTGGAAAAATTTATATTAAGTGAAGTAAGCCAGGCCCAAAGAAGCATAGGTCCCATCGTTTCCCTTATTTGCAATAATTGGTATACGTCTGATACAAGCAGAAAAGGTCAGATAAGATGATGTTAAATGAAATGAACCCCAAGATAAGGATACAAGTGGTTTTTTTCATTCTTGCTATTGCTTCTGACGAATTTATAATGTACTATGTGATTTTTTTGTTTCTTTGTATGTCCCTCCCCCACTGTATAACCCTGTTTTCACTGTATTTGATGTTGGTATAATTTGGGGAGGGGAAGGGAAAAAACAAATTGTTTAAACAGGGATACAGATTGACCTATTGCAACAATGAGATGTACAAGACACTATGTCAAAAAATGAACTTTACAATTTAGGCGGGGGTGGAGGGATGTAGTTGTAGAGATGGGAGGGAAAGGATGGTAGGGGAAAAACAAAGGAGGAAACAACAGTGCTTGATAAGAAACGTACTTATTTCCTTTCTCATGTAACTGTAACCCCTCCTCTATACAGTATTCTCACAATAAAAAACTTATTTAAAAAGTTCATATACTACTATCTGACTTAATCGCATTGTGTGCAGACAAAGAAAGGTACAGAATTAGTATTCCATTAGGTCACCAAAAATATTTCCCTAATTTACTTAAACTCATTTTACCAATAGAACCTCTAGAAAAGTACCTTCATCATGTTAAGGTGAGATTTTTGTGAAAAAAAAATTTGATGCAAAATGCTGATAGTGTTGTTAATTAACATTCCCCCAGTAAAAGTTACACAACTAAATTTGAAGTGTGACAATTCTAAATTTGTGTGGTACAATGAGAAAGGAATCATTCAAAAGTGTCCAATTAGAGGAAGAATTGCCTTTGATTCAGATTATGTGTTTGGAATGTTGGATTATTTGATAACATTATATTTAAATGAAGTGTTAAATTCTACTATACTCTGGATATCAGGTGTCCCCAAGAGCCTTGGTTCCCTTGGTGACACTATGAGGAGCTGGTGGAGCCTTTAGGAGTAGAGCCTAGTGGGAGGTCTTTACATCTTTGGGGTCATGCCACTGAAGCAGATAGAAGGACTTCAGCCATTCCTCCTCTTCTCGACTTCAATTTCTGGATATGCAATGAACAAGACTTCTCTAAGAACTCCCATTATAAGGACAACAGAAGCAAATGGTCATGGAATTAAACCTGCAAAGCTGCAAACCTTCTATATTATGTTTATTATCTCAGCCACTGCAGTAGGAAAAGCTAGCCAGTTTTAAATAAATCTAGTCAAATTCAAGTTTTATTACCAGGGACCTAATGTCATTTTAGAAAGGTCCTAGCTATTTTACCTAGGGAATATATTACAGTTGCTTCTCTTTTGTAGAAAGTACAAATTCAAGAATTGCTATGTATAGTATCTGATGAGCTTTGTAAATTGTCTGGTTCAAATATTACAGGAGACAGTGTACCAAATGCCTAACTTGGCTTTGGTCAGCTCTCCTTAGGATCTGAAAAAGGCATTGTGAAAATACCAGCACTTATTGGAACTTTGAATAAACTCAGTTGTTTTTGAAATTTTTCAACAAGGAGAAGCACTTACTTCAAGAGCACACTTTGCCAAAAATCCCAGATTCTTTTTTTGTTTTTCTGACTGTCCTGGTACTTGAACTCTGGGCCTAGGTGCTGTCCCTGAGCGCTTCAGCTCAAGGCTAGCACTCTATCACTTGAGCTATATAAGCGCCACTTCCAGATTTCTGGTTGTTAACTGGAGATAAGAGTCTCATGGACTTTCCTGCCCAGGCTGGCTTTGAATCACGATATTCAGACCTCAGTCTCCTAAGCAGCTAGGATTACAAGTGTGGGCCACCAGCACCTGGCTCCCAGATCTAATAAACACTTTATCTGGAATTGGTGACATGACATACCAACTACAGCATAGATAGTACAGAGTGTGTACATGCCAGGGATCCAGGGCCTGGTGATTCTGATGATACCCAAAGGCCCAAAGCCTCAGAGCTGGACATGTTTAACAAATTTCAGAGTATCACATTAAATAACGTTTTTAATGAGTTCCTGCATGACACATGGGCTGTAGTATTAAATAGCATTTTTTTCTCCATGAAAGTATCATTAATCCATGAGTTATAAATTCTATAGCCCTTCAACAGATTTAGCTGTGGCAGAAAGGATGAGATAAAAGTTTCTTTCTTACTATTGTTTCTAACATATTTATAATGCACCATGTGATTTTTTTTGTTGCTTTGTATGTTCCTCCCCCACGGTATAACCCCTGTTTTCACTGTATTGGTTGTTGGTGCCCTGCATCTTGTATATACACAAGTGTATATATACTTCTCTAATTCGGGGAGGGGAAGGGAAAAAAACAAAATGCTTAAATAAGGACCATTAAAATATCAACCCATTGTAACAATGAGATGTATAAGACATTTTGTTGAAAAAGAACTTTCCAACTTTGTAGGTGAGGGGGGGAGTAGTTGTAGAGGTGGGATGTAAGGTATGGTAGGTGAAAAAGAAAGGAGGAGGCAATAATGCTCAGTAGGAAATGTACTCATTACCTTGCTCATGTAACTGTAACCCTCTGTACAGCATTTTTACAATAAAAATGTATAAAAAGTGTTAAAACTATTACTCTCTTCAGTGACTAATACTTTCAATAAAAGAAAACAAAAATATTACTGGTCCCTTCATGACCTTTGCTTAATAGGAATTCTCAATGCATAAATGTGAGATTAGCAATGTCTTCAACTTTGTTTTCCAATGTGAAAAATATATATTCATAGAAGGTTTAGCCTTAAGCCCAATACTTTTCATGATGCATTTAAAGTTTAATCTTCTTTGAAAAAAATAAATAAAATAATTCATATTTATCTGAATGTGTGAAATGGATGAACTATATGCTCCAGGCACTTTTAATTCTAAGAGGAATTTTTTTTTTTTTGGGTCCGGTTGTGGGGCCTGAACTCTGGGTCTGGGCACTGTCCCTCAGCTCTTTAGCTCAAGGCAAGCACTCTACCATTTGAGCCACAGTGCCACTTCCAGCTTTTTTTTTTCAGCTTACATGGTGCTGAGGAATCGAACCCAGGGCCTCAGGCATGCAAGGCAAGCGCTCTACCACTGAGCCACCTTCCCAGCCCTCTAAGAGGAATTTTAAGGCCCTTTAATATCAACTGAGTAAGTGATGACTTAAGAAGGTAAATTTCTCTTTGCATAAATTTTCCTGTAAAAACAGAATCTGCCGAAAAAAGAATTCTGCTTTTGATTCACAAAGAGATGTGAGCAACAGGGTCTTAATGGGGAAGGACATGGCAAAAACTCAAGGAAGTGGGTCTCACAAAACTCCAGGAACTCACAGTGTTGCTTTTGATGTCAAAAGTATATAAAATCCATATAGTACATAAAATCATAGAGTTTAGGAAGAACTTCTGGTTTTCTGGTGGTTAATTGGAGATAAGAGTCTCGTAGACTTTCTTGCCTGGGCTGGCTTTGAATCATGATCTTCAGATCTCAGCCTCCTGAGTAGCTAGGATTACAGGCGTGAGCCACCGGTGCCTGGCTTATAACCAATAGTTTTATGTTTTTTGTGTTTCCCTGCTTTTGCTTTGGGCTTTGGTGCTAGGAATAAAACCTAAGGTCTCACTGATACTAGGCACGTGTTCTATGTGCTGTGCTTTCTTTCAGCTTTATTAACAAGATTAATGGTAACAGCATGAATGCTTCAGGTTATTACAAGAAAAAACAATGGGCTTAGGTTTGGAAGAGCTGAATGCTTCCCTAATTTTAGACTTACTAGGATGCTTTCCTATTGTCACTTAGATTCACTTTATAATCCTGCTAATATACCCTTATAATTTTAAGTGCTCAACCTAACCCTAATTCCTTAGTCTAATTCTTGACTAAAGCAGGAAGCAAATGGAGGCATATCTACTTGCGGTGAAGTGAAGCAGATAGTACAGCCACAATTTCTGAAGTTGAGGTTGTATAGCTCAGATTTTATAGCTACTTCCTGCCACGAGGGAATCTTAATCTCCTCTCTCTACAAATAGTTGTAAGATCAAATGCCTCATAATCACTTCTTGCATTTTACCTCTGACACACTAAATTCCTTCTTTGTTTTAGATCCCTGTCCACTCTAAATCTTTTCTACGTCCTGTCAGATGTCCCCAAATTTTTTAGATTTCCCCTGAATTTTTGGTCAGTCCTGAATATAACCACACTTCCCTAGCTAGCCTTCTTCTGCCTTCATTTCTGCTATTTCATATCTCCCTCTCCCCATCTATTTCAAAAGCCCTTTTGTCTGGCTTCAACAGCAGCTGTCCTATTATATTGTGTCCTATTCCCTAACTGGCTGTCTTTTTCTCCTGTATTGAAGTAATTGTTGTTTATTACAAAATAGGAGTTCCTGCCATGTCAATATCTGCATGTCTGTTACATTCTCCCATGTTCTACCTTGTTCCCTAAAGTCAGAGCATTTGCCCACTGCTTATCTACGCTTGTCCAGTCCCCATTCTAGGAACTCCTATGCTTGTCCAATCTAACCCACAAGGCTTTGTTACAATGAGAGCCAAGAAACATGTTGGACAGAAAACATGGTATGAATCTTGTAGGTTCCTGAGCTGCTGAAAGGTGCTCTGGCTACCTTTATGTTTGGTTTCCCTTCTCTAGATCTCTATTCCAAGATTCACATCAAAAATCCTTTCAAGGATTAAATCTAATAGGGTATGTATACATACTTAAGTATATTACTCCAATCAGAAAACTTACTCTTTGATGCCTTCCAACAATTTGAAGTTTAAGTTATCTTCACTTCGGTCAAAGAAACCCTTATTGTCTATAAAGACCAAATGCCTTGGGTCATGTGTTCGTTGGACAATGTGGGCTAGAGTCACAGAACTGGGGTCACCACAGTTTGGTCTCAATCCATTCCGCACACAGGTATCTTCCTTGCGTGGTCTGAATCCACAGCAATTTGTATCTAAGCGATCATACATCTGAAAATAGAAAATAAAAACAAAATCCAAGATGATAAGGGGGTAGAAAACTTGAGAAAATCAGATTTCCAAAGAGCTGGGGATTTCTGGCTTTGAGGTTCAATTAATGCTAGGCAACAGTCAGAATAAATCCAACATCCATGCCTTCTGACTCAGCCATGGTTCTAAGCATTTGCAGCTTCTGGTAATAGCACTAAAGTCAGATAAGCCAAATTAGGTATCTCCACCCTAAGTATTTAGAGTTCCCACTGACCACACAGGCAGACATGTGGCCAGAAGAATCAGCCCTCAGGATGACAACACCCATATGATATTTTTGAGCCCTTCAAAGGGAATATAGGAAATCTGTCAACTCATTGGTTCTAAAAAAGACTACTGTTTCAGATTTCAGTATTACTGCAGCTAGCCTCAAATAATACAGAAGAAGCTGGGCATCAGTGGCTCATTCCTGTTATACTAATTACTGAGGAGCCCAAGATCTAAGAATCATGATTCAAAGGGACAGTGCCCAGGCCCAGAGTTCAAGCCCCATGACTGACAAAAAAAAAAGCCAGCAAGAGAAGGAAAGTCCACGAAATTATCTCCAATTATCTTCACCAAAAAGCTGGAAGTGGAGTTGTAGCTCAAGTTCTAGAGCACTAGCCTTGAGCAAAAATGCTCAGGGACAGCAATCAGGCCTTGAGTTCAAGTCCCACGACAAGCAAATGTGCACGTGTGCATGTGTCCATGCACACGTGAGCATGTGCACACACACAATAATAATATAGAAGCAACCTATTGAAAAGACAGACAATCAATAATGAAGTGTTACCCAGATGAAGGTCACAGAGAGATTCTGAATAGTAAGCAAAAAGCAAAACTATGGTGGCTTGCAACTTATTCTTAGAATAAACTATAGAAGAGATACACAGATTCATTGGAAAATTATGTCATTCAATTTCTATAGGGAAATGAAAACAGTTAATAGTATGAAAAAATCATTTTTAATAAGTGTGAATTAAGTATATTAAATCTCTGCTCTCACACTCGTTAGCTCTGTAAAATTGTGAAGATTTCTTCATATGACTAATCCCCTATTTAATTTCCTGGGCAATAGGAATGATGCTATTTATGTTACACAGTTGGGGTATATTTGCTGTCATAAATTGGGAGATCATAAAAGTTTACCAAAGGTTCATTTATCAAATGTGAAGGTCCTATATTGGCACTATTGGGAAGTGGTGGAAATTTTAAAAGATGAACTCTAGTAAGAGGTCTTAAGTAGTGGGGAGTGGTTGAAAAGGGATTTTGGGTTCTAACCCAACCACGTCCTATCTCATTTGCTTCCCTGTCATGATACATATGTTCATAATTTTACAGATGTTTCATAACTTTGTTTAACTTATTATTTATTTATGGCAGTTCTGGGATTTGAACTCAAGGTCTTGAACTTGTTACACAATTGCTCTACCACTTAAGTCACCATAGCTCTTTTTACTTTATTTTTCAGGCCAGTCTCAGGCTGATCCTTTCTAAGTCTTAACTACAGCACAAAGATCTACCATATTGATCACATGTGTTCAAAATTTAACTTTTAAGGACAACTCTACTAAAAATTTATTTTTAATATTTATAGAAACTTTAATGTTAAGATGATGAGAACAAAACTAGTTGTCCAATGCCACATAATTTGTATAGTTAGATTTGTATAGTTAGTTTAACCAGAGAGTAATCAGTACCCATTCATAACTGCTTGCTGAGGGGTTAAGACAGGTTATTAATTTTTTTCTGGCTAACTCTTGTTATATATTATGCTTTTTTATTGTGAAAATACTGTACAGAGAGGTTACAATTACACGGGCAAGGTAATGAGTACATTTCTTATCATGCATTGTAGCCTCCTCCTTTGTTTTCCCTTCCCATCCATTCCCATCCTCTCCCTGGCCCCCCCCCCCGACCCAATCCTCCTCCCTCCACCTGCACCAAAGTTGTAAAGTTCACTTTCAACATAATGACTTGTACATCTCATTGTTGCAATGGGTCCACCTGTATCCCTATTTAAACGATTTTTTTTACCCTTCCCCTCCACAAATTATACGGACATCAAATACAGTGAAAGCAGGAGTTATACCGTGGGGGAGGGACATACAAAGCAACAAAGAAATAATCTTATAAATGTGTTAGAAACACATGCATGAAAGAAAAAAAAACATTTGAATACGTATCTTAAGGTTCATTTCCCTAACATCAACTTATCTGACCTTTTCTGCTTGACTCAGACTTATACTAGTTATTGCAAATAAGGGAAACCATGGACCTATGTTTCTTTGAGCCTAGCTTACTTCACTTAACATAATTTTTTCCAAGCCTTTCCATTTCCTAACAAATGGGGCAATGTCATTCTTTCTGATGGAGGCATAGAATTCCACTGTGTATATATACCACATTTTCTTGATCCATTCATCTACTGAGGGGCACCTGTGTTGGTTCCATATCTTAGCTATAGTAAATAATGCTACAATAAACATAGTCGTGCTGGTAGCTTTAGTGTGGTCTTGTTTGTGAACATTTGGGTAAATGCCCAAAAGTGGGATTGCTGGGTCATAGGGGAGCTCTATGTGGAGTCTTTTGAGGAACCTCCATACTGCTTTCCAAAGTGGTTGAACAAGTTTACACTCCCACCAATAATAGTAAGGTTCCCTTCTAAGACAGTTTATTAATTTTAAGTGATAAGTTAAGACAATCAATTTTAGCAGCCAGGTGATCAATTTTGAGATCAAGGTATAACGTACATGAATATTTTACAGATTGAAATTATGCTTGAGTTAGAGCATTCATACCTCTGTCCAACTATAGACAACTGCAATAATAATTTTTAAGAATGATTATAAATTAATTTTATAATACATTATATACAAGCAAACTAAAATGAATAATACACATGCAGTTAACTCCTAAATTTTTCATCTCTCTCTCTCTCTCTCTCTCTCTCCTCTCTCCTCTCTCTCTCTCTCTCTCTCTCTCTCTCTCTCTCTCGCACACACACACACACACACACACACTATCACAAGGAAATAAAATTAGAGGAGTAAAAATTTCTTAATTACAGTTCTGTCTGCTAAGCTCCTTCTTCACTATTGTTTTCATGGTTGTAGGGAAAGAAGTTGGATACACATTTGTATTACTTCCACAACAAAGCTCTGCTAGTCAATTTTCCTTCACTATGAAAAGTATATGAGAAATCAAACTTATAAAGAGGAAAGAATTATTTTGGTTCTCAGTTTTAGGGCTTTCAGGTCATGACAACTTGGTCTTGCTTTGGTCTGTGGCACGAGATCATGGCAGAAGTGTGTTGGAATAGTTTTAGTATGGCATTGTGTGTGATCATTTGGGTAATTGCTGAGGAGTGGGCACTTTATTATTTGTTTTCTTGAAAATGGCTTTTCTAATTGGGGTGAGGTAGAATCTCAATGTTATTTGATGGACATTTCTTTTATGGCTAGAGATGCTGAGCATTTCTTCATGTGCCTATTGGCCATTCTTATTTCGTCTCCAGAGAAGTCCCTTTTTAATTCTTTAGCCCATGTGTTAATGGGGTGGTATTTCTTTGAGGATTTGTTATTGAAGGGTTTAATTTTTTTAATTTTATTTTATTGTAAAGATACTGTACCTAAGGGTTACATTTACATGAGTAAGGTAATGAGTACATTTCTAAGAATATTTTTGATATGAGACCCTTGTTTGTTTTATAGCAGCATTATTTACCATAGATAATATGTGGAATCAACACAGATGCCCCTCAGTAGATAAATGGGTCAAGAGGATATTTACACACAATGGAATTCTATACCTCCATCAGAAAGAATAACATGGCCCCATTTGTAAAAAAAAAAAATGGAAAGATTTGGAAAAAAAATCATAGTAAGTGAAGTAAGCCAGACCCAAAGAAACATAAGCTCTGTGGTTTCCCTCATTTATAATGATTAGTATACATCTAGGGTAGTCCTAACAAAGGTTCACAATAGCTAATAGCTATGTACGTATGACCATATAAAATTATGCTAATCAAAATGAACTCCAAGATATGGAAACAAGAGGGTTTTTTTGGGGGGGGTATTTGTGTTTTTGTTTTTTGATGTACTGTGTGAATAATTTCTTTTTTCCTTCATTTTTTTTCTTTTGGTTTATCCCCTGTTGTCGCTGTTTTTGGGTTTCATACCCTGTGTTTTGTATATATGTTTATCATATTTGAGGAAGGGAAGGAGAATAAAAAAAATGGTGAAACAAAAGACAAGGGATGAACCAATGCAACAGCGATACTCACAAGACACTATGTTGGAAATGAACTTTAATCTTGGGGGGGTGAGTGTAGGGGAAAAGAAAGTGGGAGAAAATGAGGGAGAGGGTAACAATGTTCAACAAGGAATATACTCATTGTCTTATTTATGTAACTGTAATCCCTCTATACATCACCCTTACAATAAAAGAAAAGAAAAGAAAATTTAAATTTAACAAAAAAAGAAGTACCTGGGGAAAAGCTGCTCACTGCATGGCTGGGAAGTAAAGGAGAAGACTAGGGAGGGGCTGGAGTCTCACAGTCACCTTCAAAAGATCCACCCAATGAACTGAATGTCTCTCACTAGGGCCACCTGGTTATGGTTCCAATACTATCCAATACCACAGGCCTCCTTGGATGTTTAAGATCTCAGCTATAAACCAGATGTGGTGGTACATTCCTTTAATTCCAAGCTATTATGGAGTGAGAGTTAGAAGCATTATGAGCTTAGATCAGCCCAGGCTAAGTTAGCAAAACTCTATCTTAAAACACAAAATGTCTGGAGATATAACTCAAGTGGTAATTAGCTTGGTTAACATGCTGCTTACAAGGGAATTCAGTACTCAGAATATTAAATATATTGTTACATATGATGAGCTCTTCCAAGATAGGCTTTAACTTTGTCACTTCTATAAATATAAAACTTTTCTATTTTAAACTACATGAAAAGTTACATTTGGAAAAT